ATAGCTGAGGATGGGAGGTACTAGAATATGTCTGTGCATTGGAAGGTTGGGTTCTCAACTTTGACACTCTTGGCATTTTGGGCTAAATAATCCTTTGTTATGAGGGCTACCCTGTGCATTGTGGAATGTTTATCAGCATCCATGGCCTCTACCCACTAGATACCAGTAGCAGTAGCACTATCCATGCTTCCATAAAAATAAAAAATGTATGAGACATTGACCATCTCCCCTGGAAGGCATTGAGAACCATGGATGTAAATGATATTAACATATTGTCTCTTCCAAAACCTACATCAGGACACATATCCAGCCTGTAATTTATGATACTGCAAACAGTCTGAGCTAATAGAGTGATTCATTGCAAAGATCAAATTAAGGATATGGCCTTTAAATTCAAGCCTAATAGTCTCAAGGTAGCCCTTATAAAATAAGAGAGAAAGCATATTAGGAGCAAAGGCATGTAGAAGATTAAAAAGGATTAAAAAAAGAACTATGGGTAGGTACCTGGAACATGAAATTTACTGGAAACAAATTAATTTAAAATCTATTAAGTTTGCAAAGTAACTGCATTGCCAAAGAAACCACATGACTTGTTTATAATCATGTGTCTGCTCCAGACTTAAGACAATTCTTTGGCTCCCAGCCTTCCAAGAGCAGGAAATCAGCTGAGAAGAAGGTGCTAAAGTTACAGAAGGCACATTCCTTAGCATCCTCCTCACCTGGGACCACTGAGAACAATAGACAAAAGAATAGAGTAGAATCAGGACCTAATTAAGGAAATTCCCACCCATTCCCTGCCTCGCCCCCTCCCTACCCCAACTTCAAGGTAAGGGCCTTCATCTTATCTGTGCAGTGGGGTTTCAGATTTGCTATGAACCAAGGTCTATGGACTGTTTCCAATCCTTCCCTTTGTCTAATTAAAGTATTCCAGTAGATATAATTTGTCTTTAAAGTTCATAGGATTCTGGAAAAAATAAAGACACAATTAGATCTAATTCAGAAGCTATCATGAGTACAGAGTTCTTGTATTTTGAGTTGGATTCAGTGATTCAGTGATTGAACGAGTTTAGACCATCTCCTTGAAGAAGGGTTGAGTTTGTTCTATGAGTGGGATGAAAAGAGCAAGGGGATCTTCTGTGTGTCTAGGAAGTTGGATTGTAGCAGAAACACTTATTAAATATGGTTCTGGACATTTCCCAGCCTTTCTTACAGTTCGGTTAACATTATAATCTAATGTTAATTAGGGCTAGTTCTGGCCCCCATAAGACTCTACCAGGGGTCCTCAAACTTTTTAAACAGGGGGCCAGTTCACTGTCCCTCAGACCGTTGGAGGGCCTGACTATAGTTTTAAAAAAAACTATGAACAAATTCCTATGCACACAGCGGTGGCAAAAACACCCAGCGGGCCGGATAAATGTTTTCGGCAGGCCGCATGTGGCCCGCGGGCCGTAGTTTGAGGACCCCTGCAAGCAGAAGTGACACAAATCACCTGAAGGTGGTGGCAGTTTAGAGCCCAGTGCCTCTTCTGAATCTCTTTTACCCTTTGGTGGCTCCCATGGAAGCCATGTGTTGAGATGGTGGAGGCACAACAGGGAGTGAACCTGGATCTCTGATCACAGCTTGGGGAAGCATCTCTGCTGCCTTTCATCACGCTTTGCTGTGTTAAAGCACTGAAATTATAGGGTGTATTTGTTACAGCAGCATGGACTAGCCTATCTTTCCTAGTATAGTCCTCTAGCCAAGAGGTCTACCATCATCACAACCACTGACAGAGCTAGAAAATGCGCCACGGCTTAGCTACAAACAGCTGACTACGGGTGAGAATGCAGTTAGGAGTTTGTTTGGAAATCATTAGACAGTATGTTACAGAGACATGAAAAAGGAACAGACCCTGGAGTAAAGATTCCAGGAGAACCCCACATCTGTTCCCCTCTCTGGAAAGTGGGACAGCACGTGTGCTCCCTTTTGATAACATATTCATTAGCAGCTGAAAAGTGCACTCTGTCTTTTACATAGTGTTTTAAACCCACAAGCTCCTTTCATGCTGTCACATTTTCTGCAATCACAAAGAGCCTCCTTTTCTCAGCCAGCAGCCTTAATGGCACCACTCCTCTGTACTTTAACCAGCACCTTGGTTTCTTCGAATAGGGCAGATATTTTCAGTCTTAGGTTGAGGCTGAACTTTTATGCCAAATTAACTTTACACTCCCAAACTTTCCAAACCCCTTGTCTGTACACTATCAGTTCTCAACATCCACAAAAAAATACCTGGTCTGCCCTGCTGGTGTGGCTCGGTTGGTTGAGCACTGTCCCATGCAATAAGAGGTCCCTGGTTCAATTTCAGGTCAGGCTACATGCCCAGGTTGCAGGCTCAATCCCCAGAAGGCGGTGTGCAGGAGGCAGGCATTCAATGCTTCTTGCTCACATCAATAATTCTCTCTCTCCCTCTCCCTCCCTCTCTAAAATTAATAATACTAATAAATAAAAAAACACGTTTAAAAAATTATGTGGTCTAGTTTAGGTAATAAAAAAAACTGTCAAAAAAACAAACAAATAAAACCCCTGTAGCAATACTAAGCAGCAAAAAATGTTTAAGAATTTAAAAAAGTTTAGGTATAATTTAGTTGCAAATATGTTTTCATATATGTATATGTTTCTATATAGTCCCTCAAAAATTACTTTTATTATTTTCCTAAGTTGGTTTTCATTCAGAAAAAAAAAATTGCACAGCTTTTTCAGGGGAGCTATCCATGGCTACCCCACTGTCCTTTAAAATTCAACTTGTTCACCACCTGTCTCCTTCTAAAAATCTTTATTCTTTCTCCTATTATTTCTACTCTCTGAACCAGTAATCCACCTTCCATTCATCCATGTGCAAAATTCAGAATTATCTTTCTACTCTTCTCCCTCCATCTGACAAGCCATAAGGTGCCAAGTGCTATAGAGTCCAACTGCCCTCAGTGACCCTCTAGTCCAATCCTTTTCCTCCAGTCTCAGTCGGCCCTTCAGAGCTGGTTCTTTTTTGTTGTTGTTTGTTTTACCCTCATAAGAGCTGCTGAACGTATCTCCCTGCATACAGTCTTTCCTTACTCGATGCAGTCTTTATACCTTCACCAAATTAGTGGGGTTTTTAATCAAGATGCTGATTATGCTATTTGCTTTCTTAAAATCTCTCAGATTTCCCCCATTTCATACTATACCACACCTTCATTCTGTCACCTAAAATCTTCTTCACTATAATCCTATCCTATCTTTCTCATTTTGAATCATTTCTCTTCTACTTCTACCCTACATTTCAGAAAAATGGGCTGGTCACTCTTCCTTGTGTTCTTGCAAACGAGAGGCTTTGCTAATACCATTCCCTTTGACCAAAATATTCTCCCCCTTTTTTCACTGACAGGCTCCCAACCTTCAAGATCCACCTCATTAATTCCATCTTCAGTTAACATCTTTCTTAATCCCACCAACTGGTATTAGAGCCTCTTTTACAGCACTAATCAAATTTTGAATTTTGTTCTCGCACTAGTTAAAATATTTCTTTTGTCATATCTTTGCATTATTTGAGTTACTACTAATTTATGTTATTTGATGGCAAAGATAACATAAAATAAAAATTAAAAAGAAGACATGAGCTGGTAGGAGGAAATAGCATATACTGTGCTGAAGGATCTTTATGCTTCAACTCTCTACATTTCTTTCCTCTCTACCTTCAACATAGGTATTTGAAAATTCTCCTCCATGTGAATTTAGAGGCCTACCACCCCCATAATTCTTATGCTGACAGCATCACATAAAACACCATCTTAAGCAAGTTTTACTTCTGAGTCCTAGCTATTTGGACCCTGACTATCAGTGTTCCTGTACTTCCCCACGATTGATTGCTTAGTTCCTCTGGCACTATAACAGTACATAGCATCAATGCAATTCAGCCCAATCAGGAGCTCCACAGAAAAACGATCTTCATAAATATCTTATTAAATTGATCTGAGAAAAATTCCAGAGAGATTCAAATTCCCATCTTGGTTTCTGTATATATGCCAACTTTCATAAACATAGCTATATATCATCCATGCCGATAGAGATATCAAATGAACTCTCAAGGTGGATCGTTCACTCTGTGGATTTCTCAAGACAAAGTCATACCTGCCTTAGCCCATGATCAGGTTAAACGATGAAACATTGATTTTGAGGAAATAACTATGTGTCTAAGCATGAGTGTGGTAATATCAGTGACCCTCTATTTAAATATGCTTTGAAATCTCCTATGCATAGGGACTGTTCCATTTCATCCATGAAAGTGATAGAGTCCATGGCTTTGAATATTCTTACCTCCTCTCTCCTCCAGTGATATATCTATCAAATCATTTCTAAAATTCACTGAATAAAAAATAAAACATGCATAGCTCTACTTATAAACATATAATAACAAAATGCTTATGGTGCATATCTGAACATATAATTCAAAGGAAGCCCAATAAAAGAGAGAATGAAAACTGTCTCTACTATTCTCATACTAGTATCTCTTTCTTGAGTGAACAACTAACTGTTCTGGTTTGCCCTGGACTTAGGTCCCCAACACAGGGGACTTTCAGTGATTAACCGGGAAAGACCCTCCAAATTAGGACTAGTTCTTTATCTTACTCTTCATAGATATTGATAAAACCCCCATTCTTTGCAAAATTCAAAATATAAGTACTTATTCTAGAATTCATCTTGCTTTTAATTTCCATAAATTACGGAGTCCAAATATGATCTGTTCTTAAGAATTCATACATTTACTTTCAATCTCAGCAGGTCTAAATCCCTTTTCCAAAAGTGTTTGAGTTTCTGGGTCTCAAGCCATAAGATAGTCAGGGAAGCTGTCCTAGGGAACCAACTGCTCTCTGGTGGGCCAACTGTATTAAATGAAAAGACCCTCTGCTTCTTTCTCTTATAGTTTCTGTCCCAACTCAATCACAAAATGAAAGTAAAATTTTCATGAGGAAAGGAGCTTTTCAAACCTCATATTCTTCTCTTAGCTGAACCATTCCATTTATATATCTTGGCAGCAGTCATTAGCAGTGAGAAACCTAAAAAGACAACAAAAGAGAAATGTATAAGTTTTTTTCAAGAGCTTCTGAAGTGTTGAAAAGTGTTTCTATTTAAAAGCTCCTGACAATGATTGGCAGGATCTGAGAAAACCTCACAAAATGAGCCCCACCCTCTGAGAATTATTATCGGGAGAACAGTAATTGGTGAACATCTAATCCATTCTAACCACAATTGAGGGATTGCAATATAATTGCTAGTTGGTGGTCCCTCTCAAATGCCACAAGAAGGTGAGTGAAGCATTGATCAATACTGAACACCCCACAAGGACTGTCAGACCTCAAAGATGGGGAGAAGTTCTAATATTCTGAACTAACTTGACAATAAAAACAAGGGGGTGCTTGCATTAATTGATTGAGTGATTACTAACTGGCCCATTAGGCCAGCCTCTTCCCAAGAATCTGACATTTAAAATAAAAATAAGACAGCCCTAATTTTAAATTTTGCAATTAGAGGATTTAATTTAGATGTGAGGGAGAACAGAGGTGTTTAAATCAACCCAATTTAGTGCAGACAGAAAAATAGACAGAAATGAAAATTACTGAGTCAGTTTGTAATAGACATAATGAAGCCCATTTACATTTGATGTAATAAATGTTTAGAATATTAATGACTCATATGGCAAAATTTGAGGCTACTGACAATTGGGGTATTAAATACCAACTTTTCAATTTCCTTTGTTTTCCACAGTTATCTACTAAATGATAAATAGAAGTAACCACGAAGGAGTTAAACCCATTTTGTTGTGACTTAGTCAATAGTGCTTCAGTAATGGGTAGGTATGATTGTCGTAATGAATTGCCTTGAAAGTACAGAAAGTTAATGGTCATTATCATTGGTGCAAGAAGAGGGAAGCAAAAAAGGGGGAGGGCATAATCAAAAACAGGATACAAATGCATAAAACAGTTACTTTTATCCATAATAATGTAGTAAAGAAAGATGCCTTTCTAAGTTGTCTGGTTTGTTAACCATGCAATAGTACATTTAACCAAACTAAAAAAGAAATTACTTGGAAAAGAAAGAGACTGCAAAAAGAGGAATAGCTGACACATGCTCAAACTGTGAGATTTCGAATGATATGTCATAAGATATAATATCTAATCACACATATATATCAAAACCATTTCTTTGTGGAAAAGAAGAACCAAAGATATTTAAGCACCAGATTAGTGCTACTAATATTACAAATGTTTTACAAAGACGTGTAAAGAAATTAAGTAAAACTCAACCTTGAGTCAAGATTTTTTATTCAAACAAGAATCCACCAGGAGACACTGACATTGTAGACTTTGCCATTTTGTTAACAAAAGGTCACAAGTCCTAGTAATTACCTGATTTTGAAAAACATTCAAGAACAGATTGGGAACCTTGGACCCAGTGTCTAAGTGAGAACAATAAAAACCGTCTTCAGCTGCCTTTACACAACTTTTTTCTTCATTATCACACAACAGATGATATTTGTTTTTCTGTTTCATTTTTTGCCTTCTAACCTGAGCGACAGGCCAGATTCTCCTCCTCTGTAACTCTGCAGGGATTCTTTGGTTTGTACCTTTTGTGTAATTCTGCTTGGCATTCTAAATATAACTCCTTCGCCTCGGTTTCAATATATTTCTTGACTTTCACCTGCAGATCTTCACTAAGTTGCATGCCATGGAAGAAGGGGTAGTTTTGCCAGCAAGAGAAATCTAGGGATATTATGTGTTCACAGCTATAATAACTAAGTTTCTATTTCATAAATTGGAGGGGAGACGGAATAATCTTTAAGGAATGCATTTTATCATTTGCAATTCAAAATTGTAATTTATTGCTACAGTATGATGACTGTTCCCTAGATTAAAGGAGTATAGTTACAGTACTTAATTGACATCATTTCAAAAATAGTTTAACGAAGGTGAATTACAAGATTCTAATCTTCACAGTCTGAGATTTCTCAATAACTAAGTTGGGTCTCAGTATGGGCCAAATTACAGTAATATTGGCCCCTTGTCTAAAAAATATAATTCCTGAAATGAGGTCAAAATCATTTCACATTCCTCCAATCTTTGAAGATGTGCTTTTTATGTACCAGGTGTTTTACATAATGTCTCTATGAAGTGGTCATGCACTCTGGAAGGGCCAGACAATCTTGAAACTACATACTCTTTGAACATTGGTAATATTTCCATCATTACTTTTTTTCAGTTCCCTTGGAGGATTCATAATAAGGGTAGAGAACCGGAAGAGAGATTTTCCTGCAGAGTCATAGAAATAGCCAAAATGTATTTTTCTTTTAGCCATACATTTCAGCATGCATAAACCCTCTGGCTGATATTTCTTGCCATTTGGCCCAACTATACTTCCTGAAGACACTGTATGAAAAGAACTAGTCTAATTTAAGAAGGAATCTGTCCCTGGTAAAACAATACATACAAAAAAGAAATCATCCAATTTAACCAACTTCCTTAGAGCCTTGATCTGAAAATTTGGTCTTAAAATAGAAAACTTAAATAAAAGTGACTATCCAAGTCATTTTGCTCTTAGTACATTTAGGATCATTTTATGGAAAAGACACTCAATTCATTTAAATTAATTTAAGGTCAATGAAACTTACATACTCTAAGTAGATCATTTCTACATGCTCCTATTTTACCTTGTATAGCCTCGGGTATATATATTTTTCCTTTGTCATCAAAATGTTCCTTTATTAATAATTTCTATTCCAGGGGTAGGTTTATTTTCAGAGACATTTACCATAAATTTTCCAGAGATTTATTAAAGTGTAAATGGCCTCCCCAAGGTGTTAAAAGGCAAGATATTCTGAAAATAGCTTAACTTAGAACACATGTGTTCCTTGAACATGAATAGAAAAGTATATATGAGTAACAACGTTTTTCCTTTCTTCTCTACTATGATTTAAATCACCTCATTTGGAGAATATTTGAATTTTAGGCAAAGACTGAATGTTTATGTTTTCTTTTGAATTTAAAAATTTATATACACACAAAGGAAGTAAAGTACATACTTATTGACTTATTACTCTGTTCAGATGTCCATAATTATTGAGATGAACACTCAGGGATGAAATCTACTCAACTGAAAATGGTCTCATGATCAGAATAAAGAAGCTATAGTATAAAATATGCTGCAGATTATCACACATTATTAACACTTGAGTCTGATTCAATAGGCTATTCTTTTACTAGAAATGGAGATAAAACTTGAAAAGAAAAGCATAAGGAAAGTACTTAAGGGAGTAAATGTAATATATTTCAAATATTTTACATAGTATTATTTACTAGGTATTTGTTATATATGGGGACACACAGCCCTGAATTCTAGATTAGTGAGACTTCAAGTGTGGTTCCTAGACCGGCAATTGCAACATCTCCAGGAACCTGTTGGAAATGCAAATTCTCAGGCTCTACCCAGATCTCTGGAATCTGAGACTGCTCAACAAGCTATCCTGTTGAGTCTAATGCACACTCAGGTTTGAGAAACACTATTCTAGATCATCATTTTTAGGATGTAGCAAATTCAAATATAAATGGATCCAAAACTATTTTGCATATTCAATAATAAACACAATATTTTGCCAAAACCGGTTTGGCTCAATGGATAGTGCGTCGGCCTGTGGACTGAAAGGTCCCAGGTTCGATTCCGGTCAAGGGCATGTACCTGGGTTGCGGGCACATCCTCAGTGGGAGATGTGCAGGAGGCAGCTGATCGATGTTTCTCTCTCATCGATGTTTCTAATTCTCTCTATCTCTCTCCCTTCCTCTCTGTGAAAAATCAATAAAATATATTTTTTAAAAAATAAATAAATAAATAAACACAATATTTAAATTTGTATAGTGATTTGAAAATTACAAAGCACTTTCAAATGCATTAATCTCATTTGATCTCTCAATATAATTGTGAGATGGATTGGGGGGGGGATACATAGTTTTCATTTTCCAAGATTAAATTGAGTTTGATACAGGTTAAGTAAATTCCTCACTTCACAAAGCTAGTTAATAAGTGAATTAGATTAGAACCCAGATCTTCAGACAGCAGAACATGTATGCTGCTACTAAGTAAATAAATAGTTTATCAGAATTAGTAGGGATGGTTTAACAACACCATGGGCAACCAAACAATGCTGTAAACTCTTTAAAATTTTTAAAATATGTTAAAAATGTACAAAGAGTTTATACTATATGCATCTATTTAAAATTCAATTAAGCTCTATCTCTGACCCACATAAAATTAAATAAATTCTAAAACCAGCATATGCCTAGTCGATAAATTTTTACTAATAAATACAACAAGCATTCATGTTTACTCTTGTTGAAAAAAAAAGAAAAACAATTAAAGGTCCCAGGTGGCCTCGGAGAATTCTATTTTCATTAAAAACATAAAGAAAAAGCTTAAATTTGTGGAAATTCAATCATTTTTTAAATATTCTCAATTTTATAGTATAGGAAATAAGAAGTCTTCTAACTGAAATGTTTGTTTCCTATCTGGAGGATAGATTGCAGATATTCTTCACATAGTGCTTTTCTAGAGGGAAAGTGAAGACATAACTTGGACCTTCTTCTTACCATCAACTGAGTGTCTCTCTTTCAAAACTTTAATATTAACAGTTACATATTCTAAAATGATTTCTATTTCTACCCAATCTCTTTTTATGGACTCTTCATAATTTTGAAAGGATAATTTAAGGATGTTAACAAAGTTAACATCTACTAAGACTGACACTACTCAAGACATAAGCATAAATGGTGTCTGTTGAGTAAAACTAATATGTTACTGAGTCTGTGAGAATGTTTGATATCTCCAGAAAGATTAAAGCAAAATGCTGGGGTAAACATGTTTCAGGCTGTTGCAGATGGTCTCAGATCCAATAGCTTCTCTAGAAAACATGTGTGAGATGATTCTTTGAATGACATAGGAGGACGACTTCAAAATCTAGCCCAGGACTTCTCAAGCTGGGGTTTGAAAATGTGTTCTGGAAAATTAGGAGGTCCATAAGTATGTTTTGTATATTATTTGTCATTTTGATGTTAAACTTAAAATACTTTATCAGTTATAAAGAAACTTCCTTGAAGAGATCACTCATAACTGAATAAATAAACTATTCAAAAACCGAACATATTTCTTAAGTCATTCCTTCTCAAACTAAGGTGCAAGGATGCATGTCCTTGAGTGAGTTATGAGAATGTCTTTTTCTTTTAAAAAGGGTCTGTTCATCATTCACATTTCAGAAATAATAATTATAGCAGCCTATGTACTGCCTTAAATCTGATCAATCTGACAAAGAAACACACAAATTCTTCACTTGGAAATTTGAATGAAAAAGACATTTGAAAGCACATAGGAGAACATAGTGACGATGACACAATCTAGCTATATTTCCATACAGTATGATCATGGGTTAAATCAAATGATTCAAATAATTTTTTTTACTCACCTCAGTGATACACCAATGGGACAAGATAGAAACATTCCACCCCAGCAAGGAAACTTGTTTTTTCACTAAATAAGTTTCAATTTGCTGAGGCATGGTTACAATGTAAATCAGGCTGACTTCATTTGGTTTCATTTTTGTTTTTAAACTCTTTACTGACAGGTCCCCTTTTTACTTGTGCCTGGGCTAGTGCTCCCACTGGCCTGCAGGTGGTACATCACTGCTAACTTCACAACATACTCAATGCCATGACTCAAAGCTATTCAGTAGGCAAAGACCTTCATGGTAAAGTAAGACCAACATCTGAGGGTAATCTTTAAGATAATCCAAGTATGTGTATGTTTAAAAATTCCATGAATGAAGAGTATGGCTATGAGGGGAGGGGGCAATATATTAAAAGAAACTGGGGGAAATGTGCAGGGAATTCAGTATTCTCTATAATGGTCTACAATTGTCTGCTACTTCTTTATTCTGCCCGTTTTCAATGATCTAAGTTGTAATTGAAAACCCTTGTCAGGAGTTTTAAGTACAAAAGCAGGCTTTCTCTGACACATCAAAATATAGAGAGATAGCCAGATTTCCCATTGTCAGATTAGAGTGGCAACCACAAATATGAAGAAATTCTGGTGCTGAATTTCAACTGTAGGTATTGATATAGACTAGATAGATATATAATGAAATAGCTATATATAAAATAGATATACATATAGATCTACATATATAGATATACTAGTAGATATATAGATGATATAGATAGATATATATAGATATATAAAGATGATATAGATATAGATATAGATATAGATATAGATATAGGAGATATAGATATAGATATAGTATGTGTGTGTGTGTCTTCTAAAGCAACCTAGAAGAAATTATCCTCAAGTAGCAATGGCCTCACCTAGCCTTCATACCTTGGCTCCTAAACATCATTCTATAATTAAAGGAAATAGATTCTTGGAAAATGGAAAATTGGTTAATGCGAGGGTTGGGGCTGAAAAAATACAAACTGTTCTTGGGCTGTCTTTGAATCCAGAAAGAAAAAAAATTGCCCCCATATAATAGTTAAAATGAGGGCATGTCAAAATAATCAAATCAGTTTGAAAGGGCTCCCACTGGCCAACATGGGACAAGTTGTGCATCAAAATAAATAATGATAACAGCTTCTAAGTAATTGAATTAAATGATTATGAGAATCCATGAGGCCATTCTAATATAAATAAATAATTAATTGATTAAAATTGAGAAGAAGAAAAAACATCATTGCAGGGCAAAAATTATAGCCAACAAATGTAGAAAAATTATAAAATTAGAAATTCATATATGGAAATAATTATTGTAATATTTGATTCAGGCACAAGTCATCAATAGATATTAACCTGGAGGGTGAATATTTGATGAGACAGGATATTTAAAGTCTCAAAGTATGTTTCCACAAGATAGTTATTAATTATGAAGAGGGAAATGGTAAGTTTATGGGAGAAACCTGGCAGACACCATCTTAACAAAATGATCAAAGTTAATTAATCAGTAATGGGACAGGTGGATAGCATGTATCTCCTGAGAAGAACACAACAGCATGACTGTGGTATTCCCGCTAAAAATTCATCACCTGAATCCAATCATGAAGAAACAGCAGACAAATCAAAACTGAGAGACATGCTACAAAATAATTAGTCTGTGCTCTTCAAAAATGTCAAGGTCATGAAAGACAAAGAATATTGGAAACTGTTCCAGAACATAGGAGACTAAAGAGATATGGCAACTAAATGCAGCATATGATCCAAGACCAGAAAAAAAAATGTATTTGGCTATAAAAATGTATTTGGCTATTAGAATAGCTGGTAATGTTTGAATATATTCTTTACTTATACATTTTAATGTAATAATATTGTATTGTATTATAGAAAAAGAAATGTTTTCCTCCATCCTCATGCTGGGTCTGAAAATTAAACTGACAAAGACAGATCAAGAGAAGAAAAGCATACACATTTTATTTAATCTTTACATACACGTGGGAGCCTTCTCAAGAGCACAAAGAACTGAAGAAACGAAGTGAGGAGGCAGGAAGCTTTCCTATCTTTTAGACAAAGAAACAACAAGTGTGTGAAGAATTGTCAAAACTGAAGGTTTAGGGTTAGGGGTAGCCAATGGTAGGAAGATAAGGGTTAGTTTTTTTGTTTATATTTGTTTGTAGAGATTTATGGACCCCAAATTCCCTGACTCTGGTGATAAGAATGTTTTTCCTTCCTCTTGGTACAGGAAGAATAGAAAATGAAGCATGTTTCATTCATATTTTCTTTTCAAGGGAAAATGGGGTGGTGGGTCAAAGTGAACTCCCTGCTTCTACATTTTTCTCAAACTCCTGCAGCTTAAGGTAATATTCCACAGGGCCATATCATGGGGTAATGTGCCCTGAACCCCATCATTATCAATGCCAAGTTCCTGATTTATATAAATGTACTCCATTTGTATAAGAAAACATTCTTTCTTTTTAAAAATTGTTTTAAAGAAACACACACAGAAGCATTTAGATGTAAAGAGTATCCTAACTGTACTTACTCTCAAACACTTGAAGAACGGGGTGGGAGAGGATGAAACTCAAGGAATCTAGACAAACATTAATTAGTTGTACTACTGAAATTTTAAAATTACTTTAAAGTAGAAAGTTAAAAGAAAACATATTTCTCCAATTTGGTGGAAACTTAGAAGGTGGTATAAAAATTCATCTGGGAGGTTAAAGAATAATATCAGGAGATAATGATGTTATTGTCAGTTTCCACAGGGAAGCAAGGCACAAGAGTACCTTAATCCTTGCTGTCTAGGACAGTGATGGCAAACCTTTTGAGCTCGGCGTGTCAGCATTTTGAAAAACCCTAATTTAACTCTGGTGCCGTGTCACATATAGAAATTGTTTGATATTTGCAACCGTAGTAAAACAAAGACTTATATTTTTGGTATTTATTTTATATATTTAAATACCATTTAATAAAGGAAAATCAACCAAAAAAATAAGTTCGCATGTCACCTCTGACACGCATGTCATAGGTTCGCCATCACTGGTCTAGGAGAATGGTCTTCTACCAGGACATGTAAAATAGGTATTGATTTCAAAAAATGAAAAATGCAAAGGCATAGTAAGAAAGCATCTTGCCATGTAAAATGTATTTAAACATCTAAATCTAAAAGAAAAATTTCATGGCACACTGAAAAGCATCCTTTAAGTTTTATGGTAAGAGCAATTTAGCCAACAATAGCAGATGTAAAAGTCAATCTAACCTTGGTGAATTTGAGAGACCATCTTATCAGGGAGACATGCCCAGGTGCTACCCAGGAGACAAGCAGATGTTTTATTCATCTTAAAAAATGTAGACCTTAGAAAAAGAGAGCGTTAAGTTTGACATTATATGGACAAGACTCTGGTACTGATTTTCAAATATTGGGGTTATGTGAATAAGAAAGAGACAATTACTGCAAGAATCACTAGAGTTAAAACAACCAATATAACCTCGGTTCTTTTTCTGAGGTCAATACACATGCAGGTCAGGATGAATCTATGTTGTACTGCGCTACCAAGAAGCCATCGGCAATATTTTACAAAAAAATCATTGTGAACAGAATAGAAGGGGTATGGGCTGATGCCACACTCTGATACAGTTGATCAGAAGTGGGTTTAAAATCATATCCACCATTCTTTCAAAGTGTGCTTATTTTGTTAATCAGTATCACCCCCAATAAATGTGATAAAAAGGAACAAAAAGTGTGCTTAATTGGAGAGCATGATCTTGTACTGTAAAGAAATCCATCCTGCTCAGAAAGTATACACTTGAAAGGCAAATATGCTAAATATATTGGACATGGCTTCAGAATAGAACTACAGAAGCAGAAATAAAGAACATTTTCACAAATTGGAATTATTGGTTGAAGACAACAAAGCTATTGGTTCAATAAATACTGTCTGATTATAAAATACAGAAAATTGGAAAGCTACTGAAAAAAGAAGTGCTGTAATGACCAATAATAAACAGAGATGATATTGCTAGTATTTTGGTGGTTTTCTTTTTAATTTTGTGTATTTGTGTGTATGTGTGTCTTTAAGTGGCAACATACCACATATTAACTCATTATTTCATTTAGCAAACATGTATAGCATGCTTTCTAGTGTTTGGCACTGTTCTAGGTATTGGGGACAGTCAGCTATAATTAAAATAGAAACTCTTGAATTTATGAAAATTACAGTCTATATATAATTGAAAATTTTATTTTCTTTAAAATTATATTGAAGGGTCCTTGAACTCATTAAATATTTCTTAAATGGTAGCAACTGTGCAATATTTTAGTAATTGTATTTTGATTACTTTAACCATTTCTCCATTCTTGGACATCTAATTTCAAATTTTGTTACCATAAAAACACTGAATAGTTTTATGTATAAATTAATTTTCTTATCTCCTTATAATATGATCAAGAATATGTTATTAATATTCAACTATTCCTTTGTATTTTCTAGCTGACTTTTACAAAGATTTTAACTACTTATACCGAACATGTAATAAATTAATGAATGCATAAAGCTTCCTTACCATGACTATTGGATTAAAATTTGAAAGCAAACCAACTAAAATTAGGCAATTTGATGGATTAAAATATATTTTATTGAGGTTTCAATTTACATGTTTATAACAAGTGAAGGCTGAATATGTTTACTAGACATTTTCATTCCCCTTTTTGGTGAAGTATCTATCAAATCCTCTTTTAAAATTGATAAATAGAGTGTACATCTTGTTTAATTATTTGCAAACATTTTTAAAGGTAAGGGAAATAATTCTTTGGCAAGATAAACTTTCATATGTAAAAATTTAAAAAGGAAATTTCAGTTTCTCTCTCTCTCTCTCTCTCTCTCTCTCTCTCACACACACACACACACACACACACACACACACACACACACACTCACTCACTCACACACACAAACGCACATGGACCAGTACAAGATAGAGAATTCCTGGTTAAATTTTACTTCATCTTGATTTCAAAATCTAAA